GCGCGGGGGTGGGTGGGCACCCCGTTGCTCGCCTTGGGCTGTTTCCAGCGTGCGTGTTGATGCCTTGCTCTGCTTAGATCTCGGGTTGCTGGGGCCAGGCCAACCAGTTGCGGCATGCCGCTCGCACGTTGGCATGGCCTCGCTGCCAGTCCGCTAGACCTCAAAAAGCAGATCCCGCTGTGGGGCCTCCCCCCTTTGCGCACCCTCCCCCCCGCAGGTGCGTGCGAGCTGCCTGGCCACGCGCGCCCTGTGCATCTTCGTCGCGCCGCCGTCGCACGCCGAGCTGGAGCGGCGCCTGAGGGGGCGCGGCACAGAGACCGAGGAGAAGGTGCTCAAGCGGCTGGCCAACGCCGCCTCGGAGATTGAGAAGTCCGAGGTAGGGCGGCGTCCGATGTTGCGCGATCTCGCGGGCGGCCCTGCCTTGCGGTCGGGCAGGAAGGGGACCCTGCTGGCGGTGTCAAACGAAGAGTCAATAGGCATGGCTGGCCGATTTGTGTGAAATGCGAGACAGGAATCATGTACGGCGGGGCCGTGGCCGCTGCTGCGGAGTGGCGGCGCTGCCAGCCTGGAGCGGCCGCGCGTTGTGGCTGCGAACGCGGCTTGACGTGCCTCTGCGGCGCCGCGCCGCGCCGCAGGCTCCGGGGCTGTTCGACTTCAGGATCGTCAACGAAGATCTCGAGAAGGCCGTGTTGGAGGTGAGGGGACACTTTTTGTGGATGCTCTTTTGTTGCGGGGGCGGGTGATGGGGGCAGTGATCAAGGGTGAGGTGCGAGGAATGCAGGATTGAGGTAGTCGCAGGCACACGTGATGCGGAAGAGCATGAATAGGTAAACCTCCTTCTATTGGCTGCCGCGGCGAGAACGGGGGCCTCGAATGCTGCGGACCGTCCGCCGTGGCGTGAGCCATGCAGCGCGCTGACTGCGCCGGCGCGCCCACACCGCCTGGCCCTTCCTCTCACCGTCTGCGCATGCCGCGAAAACCGGTGTCATGGCCCCCCCGCCAGGTCAGCGCTGCGATCGAGGGGCGCGTCAGGGGCACGATCCCCGGGGCGGCCGAGGCGCTGGCGCAATACGTGGAAGACAAGCAGGCGGCCGCCGCGGAGGCCGCAGCGGCCGCAGCGGCGCAGGCCGCGGAGGCCGCTGCCGCGGAGGCCGCAGCTGCGGAGGCGCGGGCTGCAGAGGCGCGGGCCGCGGAGGAGGCCCGGGCTGCGGAGGAGGCCCGGGCGGCGGCCGAGGCAGAGGCGGAGGCGGCGGCCGCGGCGCGGCGGCAGCTGCACGAAGAGAGCGCGGCGCTCCCGCAGCAGCCGGCCGCCCCCGCGCCCGCGCCGGCGCCCGCAGCGCCGGTCGGCAACGGCACGGCGGCGCTGCTAGACTTCGGCTTCGGCGCCGCGGCCGGCCCCGGGCTGGCGGCGAAGGGCATGCCGGTGCGCGCGTACATGGACGCGACCGTAGTGCCTGTATTGCGTGAGGGCCTGAAGGCGCTGAATGTGGCGCGGCCGGACGACCCGCTGCAGTTTTTGGCGGACTTTATCCTGGGGCAGCGGCGGCAGCGGCAGGAGCAGGCGCTGCTGCTCGCGGCGCAGCAGCAGGTGCAGGCGCAGGCGCAGGCGCAGCAGGCGGTGCAGCTGCAGGCGCTGCAGGCGCTGCAGGCGGCGGCTGCGGGCGCGCAGGGGCTGTGAGGCGCGAGGGTCGTTCCCCGATGGCCCGTCGGCCGGGGTAGGGGCGCGCCCAGCGACGCGCAAGCGCGCGACCGGGAAAAAGCGGCCACGGCAGGCGGTGGGAGGCGCCAGAAGTTTGGGTTGGGGGGGGCGGGG